TATGTTAGGGTCGGGGCCTGTAGCTCAAGATGCTAAGGCACCAGCCACATACATGAGAGCTGGTGGGTTCAAATCCAGCCCGGGCCTGCCAAACAATTGACAGCTACAACCAAAAACTAGCCAGGCATTGCGGCAGGTACCTGTAGTCCCAGCTACTTGGGAGGCTGAGGCGAGAGAATCACTTAAGCCCAGGAGTTGGAGGTTGCTGTGAGCCGTGATGCTATGGCACTCTTCCCCAGGGCAACAGCTTGAGGCTGTGTCTCAAACAAACAAACAAAATATATATAAAATTATCTTACAGGAAGATCCCTTGAGGTTAAGGTTGCCTTGAGCTAGGCTGAGGCCTTTGTACTCTATCCTGGGGCATCAGACTGAGACTCAAATAAATGCATGAAATTCTTTCACTGGATCCTTTTTGGTTTTTTGAGACAGTTTTATTATGTCGCCCTCAGAGTGCTGTGGCATCACAGCTCACAGCAACCCCAAACTCTTGGGCCCAAGCAATTCTCTTGCCTCAGCCTCTCAAATAGCTGAGACTACAGGCGCCCACCACAACGCCCGGCTATTTTTTGGTTGTAGTTGTCATTATTGTTTGGCAGGCCCAGGGTGGGTTTGAACCCACTAGCTCCAGTGTCTGTGGCTGGCACCCTACCTGCTGAGCAACAGATGCCAAGCCTATTTTTTAATTTTCTTTGAGACCAGAATCTCACTGTGCCCTGGACAGAGTACCCTGGCATCATACATATTTCATAGCAACCTCAAACTTTGGGGCTCAAGTGATCGATCCTCTTTTTTTTTTTTTTTTTGTGACAGAGCCTCAAGCTGTCCCCCTGGGTAGAGTGCCATAGCATCACAGCTCACAGCAACCTCAACTCCTAGGCTCAAGCGAGTCTCTTGCCTCAGCCTCCCAAGTAGCTGGGACCACAGGCGCCTGCCACAACGCCCGGCTATTTTTTGGTTGCAGCCGTCATTGTTGTTTGGCGGGCCCAGGCTGGATTCGAACCCAGCACCTTCGGTGTACGTGGCTGGCACCTTAGCCACTTGAGCCACAGGCGCTGAGCCAAGTGATCGATCCTCTTGCTTCAGCCTTCTAAGTAGCTGGGTCTTCCAGGTGTGTGCCCCAATACTCAGCTAGTGTTCTCACTCTTACTCAGGCTGGTCTCGAACTCCTCATCTCAAGGGATCCTCCTGCCCTGGCCTCCCAGAGTGCTGGGATTACAGGGCTAAGCCACTGTACCCAGCGCAATGATTTGGTTTTATATTCTTTTTATAGGGCCATGCCAGGTGGCTCATGCCTGTAATCTTAACATTCTGGGAGGCTGAGGAGGGAGGATGAGGATCCCTTGAGACTAGCCTGACCAAGTCTCTACTAAAAATAGAAAAATTAGCTGGATGTTGTGGCTGGCAGCAAGTCCTAGCTACTTGGGAGACTAAGGCAGTTAGAATAGGTTGGACCTAGGAATTTGAGGTTGTTGTGAGGTAGGAGGCTGAGGCTAGCCTGGGGCAACAGAGTGAGACTGTCTCAAAATAATTCTCCCTATATATACAGCTGGTTTTTTTTTTTTTTTTTTTTTGAGACCCTCTTGGTAGACTGTGTCATAGCTTACAGCAAACTCAGACTCTTGGTCCGAAGTGATTGTCTTGCCTCAGCCACCTGAGTAGCTGGGACTATAGGTGCCCACCAAGAAGCCCAGCTATTTTTTTAAGAGATGGGATCTTGCTCTTGCTCAGCCTGGTTTTGAACCTGTGAGCTCAGGCAGTCCACCCACCTGGGCCTCCCAGAATGCTGTGATTACAGGCATGAGCCATTCCCAACCTTTTTTTGTCTCCCTGGGTAGAGTGCAATAGCATCACAGCTCATAGCAACCTCAAATTCTTAGGCTCAAGCGATTCTCTTTTTTTTTTTTTTTTTGAGACAGTCTCAAGCTGTTGCCCTGGGTAGAGTGCCATCATGTCATAGCTCATAGTAACCTCCAGCTCAGCTCAAGTGATCCTCTTCCCTCAATTTTTTTATTTTTAGTAGAGACTGGGGGTCTGGCTGGTCTCTAACTCATGAGCTCAAGCTATCCACCCACCTGGGCCTCCCAGAGTGCTAGGATTTTAGGCATGAGCCACCTCACCCAGCCACAAGCCATTCTCTTGTTTGGGTCTCCCAAGTAGCTGGGACTACAGGTGTCTGCTACAATGCCCAGCTTTTTGTTGTTGTTATTGTTGTAGTTGTCTTGTTTAGCAGGCCCGGGCCGGATTCCAACTGCCAGCCCCAGTGTATGTGGCCTGTGTCCTAACCATTGAGCGATGGGCGCCTGGCTTGCTAATTTTTAAGTATTTTGCATCTGTATGAGTTTCAGAAAACTAGTCATTTTTTCATCATTGTCTTCTTCATTATTGAAGTCATCTATCCTCTTAATAATGAAATATTTCCTTTTTGTTATTCTCTAAAAGAGTTGGGGTAAAACTAATGTATAAGTTGCTTATAAATTTTAAATGTAATTATGATAGTTTAACAATGCTTCCGGCTTTGAACATACTCTATCTGTAGTTGTGTCCCAATTCCATAGCATCACTTATTTGTACCTTCTTTCTGCACCTGGACCTTTGTACTTTTAAAAAAAAATTTAGAGTGTTTGGGGGTATACGTGTTTAGTTCTCCAGACTTCATTTTTGTGTAGACTGAGTCAAAGTAAGAAGTGCACCCTTCACCCAGCTGGTGTGCCCACCGTACCTGATAGCGGTGAATTTATACCCCCTCCCCCCCCGCCGCCTTTATATTCTTTAAAACTGGTTCTTTCCTATTTGGGTGCATAGCAGGCGACACCATCTTGCAGGGAAGCCAGTCATGAAGAGATCCCATCCCATCATCCCCCACCTCCCACCCCACCCTGCCCACAGACCTGTTTCTGCGCACCTGCTGGCTGCACCTTGCACACAGGCGCCCTCTGCTGCGACGCACGTCCTTTACTCCTTGCTGTACGGCTGCTGCTCATTTCATGGAGGTGCAGCTGCCCGCTTCCCCAGGGAGGGTGCCCTGGAGATCCCTGACTGTATCGGGTTATACCTATGCAGGCACTCGGGACCACAATCTCCCTGCATAGGTCAGCACACTTGGAGTTGTGGTTCTCCCTGGACGTTAACCTCCTGCAGGGGGTGGGTTCCCTGTCTGTCCTGGCCAGCATTCTTGCCTTGTAGCCCGGGCTCAGTAGCGTGAACAATGTGTGGGAACTTGGTTTATTTTCCTTCACGGAGATACCCAGTAGTGAGATTGATTGCTGGAGCTGGAGCCTGTATTGATTGCTGGAGCCTGTGTTCTATTTTTAGTTCTTTGAGAAATCATTATGCTTTTTTCCCATAGAAGTCGCACTGATTTACATTCCCACCAGCAGTGTATGTGTCTAAGAGTTCGGTTTTCTCCCCATCTTTGCCAACTTAATTTTTTGTTCTTTTTTTGAGACAGGTTTCTCAGCCTGTTGCCTGGGCTAGCCTGTGGCAATAGTGTCATCACAGCTCACTGCGACCTCAAACACCTGGGTTCACCTCCTCTCCTGCCTCAGCCTCCTGAGTAGCTGCGACTACCAGGTGGGTGCCTGCCACCAGACCCAGAAAAGTTTATGTATTTCTTGTAGACACGTTTCTTGCTCTTGCTTGGGATGGTCTTGAACTCCTGAGCTCAAAAGATGCTCCTTTGTTCTCCTCTGGAGTGCTAGCTAAGATTACACTGTGCCTGTCCATGTATGTTCTTAATAATAGCCATTATGATTGGTGTAAGGTGATAACTTATGGAATTGGGGGGGGGTCTTTATTTTTTTTTTTTTTTGGAGGCAGTCTCTCTTGTCCCTGGTAGAGTGCCGTGGTGTCATCACAGCTCATAGCAACCTCAAACTTCTGAGCTCAAGGGATCCTCTTGCTTCAATTTTCCCAAGTATCTAGTATGACAGGCACCTTCCACAACACCCAGCTATTTTTTTTTTTTTTTTTGAGACAGAATTTCACTTATTAATCCTTGGTAGATTGCTAAGAAGTCACAGCTCACAGCAACCTCCGACTCCTTGGGCTTAGGCGATTCTCTTGCCTCAGCCTCCCAAGTAGCTGGGACTATAGGTGCCTGCCTGCTACAATGCCCGGCTATTTTTTTGTTGCAGTTAGGCTGAAGCTGGGTTTGAACCCATCTCCCTTGGTATATGGGCCCCACCCACCAGCTATTTTTTGGAGATGGGGTCTTGCTGTTGCTCGAGCAGGTCTCAATTGATCAACCCACCTTGGCTTCTCAGAGTGCTGGGATTACAGATGTAAGCCACCACGGCCCAACCAGGATAACTTTTAAGACAGTGTCTCACTTTGTTGCCCCCCATAGGGTGCTGTGGTGACAGTAGCTCCCAGCAACCTCAAACTCCTGGGCTCAAGTGATCCTTTTGCCTCAGCCTCCCAAGTAGCTGGAACTACAGGCCCTGCCAACACACCCCACTCCTTTTTTAGAGACAGGGTCTTGCTCTTTCTCATGCTGATCTCGAACTCCTCAAACTCTCAGCTTCCCAGAATGTTTGGATTATAGGCGTGAGTCACTGCACCCAGCCAGGAGTAACTTGATTTATTTCTGGACTGGGCTGTTATTGGTGTATAGAAATGTTACTGATTTCTTCATGCTCTTCCACCCCCTCCCCCTTTTTTTAAGACAGCCTTGTTCTGTGGCCTCCAGTAGAGCACAGTGGTGTCCGCCACCCCAGTTCATCCAGACACAGGGAAAACACAGAAATTGCAGACACCCAGCTCTGTGCAGCTTCCCCAGGGACCGTGAGGCCGTCGGAGGAGTAGACCAGCTATCCAGCCGTGTCAGGCCCCACCTGCCTTCTGAGCCTGGGCAGCCATCTCTGAATCTGCAGTTCCACCAAGCAGACTGGGAGGTCCCACTCACCCCAAGATCCTGCTTTTGAATCTCTGGATCCCTTTTCAATCCCTGCTCAAGCAACAACTTAATCCCTAACCATCCTACGTTGCCACATCCTTGAATGTCCAAAGTACCCTTCAGGCCTGTGGCACTCAACTACCAAAGGATCTTCAAGAACAAGGGCAGGAAGTTCACCCCATCTCTAACCATTGAAGGCAGGCCATCCACAGCCCAGACAGGGCCCTTCATGGGCAGAAGCACCTGTCTCTGCTGACACTGGAGCGCCACCTGGTGTTCTTGCTAAATCTTTTTTTCTGATTGCTTTTTTTATTGTTTGGGATTCGGATTCACTGAGGATACAAAGAATTAGGTCACACGGATTGCATTTGTAAGATAACATCCCTCTTACGCGTCTGTGGGTGCCAAACACTGACGGGCTAAAAATTTTTTTAACTCCCTTGGGTACCTTAGAGTATAAGTAGTATTTCATTTTAACCCCAGAGCTCTGTGCTAAAGAACAACGGGAGGGGAAGGAGGATAAAGAACAGAGTAGGGGTAGGGGAAGGAAGTAAAGAAGAAACCACAAAAAGGAGAAACCAGCAAAAAATGTCTGGCTACATGAAGAACCAGAACAGAACAACTCCCCCCAGGGGTCACGATGGAGCTACCACAGAATACTCCAGCTACAAAGAAATTCTGGAAATGACAGATTTGGAATTCAGAGTGTGGGCAGCAAAGAAGCTGAACAGAATCGAACGGTTAATGGAAATAGAACTCCAACTAATTAAGGATGTTGGAGATCAGATGTTAAAGAGTCTGTCTGAACTTACAAAAGATACAAGTGAGCTCAAAGAATTGAAGGAAGCGTTCAGGGATTCTCTAAATAGAGCAGGACGCGTCAACAACAGATTAGACCATGGAAAGGGAGGAGCCTCACAGCTTCAAGACCGAGCTCTGGAGCTAACCCAGTCATTTAAAGATCCCGCCGACTTCCTATCAGCAGCACTGGATACTAGTAAGCAATGGAGTAATGTTTTCAGCATTCTGAGAGAGAAGGATTATGACCCTCAATTACTGTGCCAAGTCAAATTGGCATTTAAATGCGATGGTGGAATAAAAGAATTTTCAGATCTTCAAAGCCTCAGCAAATTTATTAGTCAAAAGTCTTCTTTGAAAGAGTTACTGAAAGATGTACTCTCACAAAATGAAACAATAAATCCAGGAGGAAGAAGATACGGGATTCAAGAAAAAGAGGTAAGCAGAGAAATCCATAAAGATTGTGGGTGAAGTATAAGTAATAGTTGGCACAGTTTTTCTGAAGATTAAACCAGTGTTTTTTTTTTTTTTTTTTTAAACAGAGCCTCAAGCTGTTGCCCTGGGTAGAGTCCTGTGGCGTCACAGCTCGCAGCAACCTCCAACTCCTGGGCTTAAGCAATTCTATTGCCTCAGCCTCCCAAGCAGTTGGGGCTGTAGGCGCCCTCTTTCTTGGTTGTAGTTGTCACTGTTTGGCAGGCCTGGGCTGGATTCGAACCCATCAGCTCTGGTGTATGTGGCTGGTGCCTTAGCTACTTGAGCTATAGGCACTGAGGTGTTTAAACCAATTTTTAAGAAGTTATTCCTTGGCGGAGCATGGTGGCTTACGCTTGAATAGTAGCACTCTAGAACACCGATGTAGGAAGATTGTTTGAAGGCAGGAGTCTGAGACCAGCCTGAGTAAGAGCAGACTTTGTATAAATCGAAAACTTAGGCTCACCACCTGTGGCTCAAGTGGCAGAGGCGCCAGCCACGTACACCTGAGCTAGTGAGTTCGAATCCAGCCTGGGCCACCAAACAACAATGACGGCTGCAACCAAAAAGCAGCCAGGCATTGTGGCGGGCACCTGTAATCCCAGCTACTTGGGAGGTGGAGGCAGGAGACTCGCTTGAGCCCAGGAGTTGGAGGTTGCTGTGAACTGTGATGCCAGGGCACTCTACCCAGGGGGACAGCTTGAGGCTCTGTCTCCAAAAAAAAAAAAAAAACTTAGGCGTGGTGGGATGTACCTATAGTCCCAGCTATTTGGGAAGCTGAGTCAGGAAGATTGAGCCTAGAAGTTTGAGGTTGCAGTGAGCTATAATGACCCTGGTAGGTAATAGGTGAGACTCTGTCTTTAAAAAGTGGTGTTAAGGGCGGCACTTGTGGCTCAAAGGAGTAGGGTGCTGGTGCCATATGCTGGACATGGCGGGTTCAAACCCAGCCCTGGCCAAAAAAAAAAAGTGTTAAAAGCATGGGAGAGATGAGAAAAGTTTATGGTTGTTTATTTGGGGAAAAGTTGTGCATAATGTAGACATTGGTGAAAAAATAAATTGAGGCTGGGTGTAGTGGTTCTCCCCTGTAATCCCAGTGACTGAGGAGGTTGAGATAGGAAGTTGCTTACAGCCAGGAGTTAAGTCTGAGTAATGTAGTGATACCTGGTGTCTTTTTTTTTTTTTTTGGAGACAGTCTCAAGCTGTCACCCTGGGTAGAGCGCTGTGGCCTCACAGCTCACACCAACCTCCAATTATTGGGCTTAAGCAATTCTCTTGCCTTAGCCTCCCAAGTAGTTGGGACTACAATAGGCACCCACCAGAACACCTAGCTATTTTTTGATTGCAGTTGTTGTTTGGCAGGCCTGGGCTGGATTTGAACTTACCAGCCTTGATGTATGTGGCTGGTGCCCTAGCTGCTTGAGCTATAGGCATCAAGCCATGATATCTGGTTTCTATGAAAGACAGAAAAATAACTGGTTGTGATGGTGGGAAAGACGTAAGGACAGGCTTCAAGAAATGTATTAAACTCAAGAGAGTGAAATGAAAGTTTGGTAGACTGAGGCAGGAGAATCATTTGAGCCCTGAAGTTTGAAGCTATGGTGATATGAGACCACTGCAGTTGAGCCCTGACAACAGAGGGGCACTCCGTCTTAAGGAAAAAAAATACATCCCTTCTCTTCTGTCTGTACTCTGACCCCAGTACGGTCTGAGGGTAAGGGAAAGGCAACTGACCATCTGGGTTTTTTTGAGACAAAGTCTCAAGCTGTCACCCTGGGTAGAATGCTGTGGCATCAGAGCTCACCGCAACCTCAAACTTGGGCTTAAGCGATTCTCTTGCCTCAGCCTCCCACATAGCTGGGACTGCAGGTGCCTGCCACAATGCCTAGCTGTTTTTTGGTTGTTGTCACTGTTTGGCAGGCCTGGGCTGGATTTGAACCTGCCAGTTCTGGTGTATGTGGCTGGCGCCCTAGCTGCTTAAGCTACAAGCGCTGAGCCTGTTTCTTAAAGACTCAGTCATTTTTGGTCACTCTGGTTAACTTTTCTTTTTTTTTTTTTTTTT